AGGCTTATTCATTTCTAACTTGTGTTATCTCAATTTACCAAAATGAGAAGCAATTTTCATTGTGGTTACATCCTTGGATTTTGGAGTAGTAATGATTTTGGTTTACCATGTTTTGTCTAAGAACTTTAGAATCTTCAAATTCAACTCTTCCCTTTTAAAGGTTTTCCAAGAATAATTATGTGGTTAATGATGTGAGTTAATCTCTTTTGAACATCTTTAATTGACTCTCCAATTTACATAAAAAAATGCTCATATTCTTGGACCAATGTATGCTTTCTTATCCTCTTTACATTTTTTTATTCCTTCATGAGTAGACCTAAAGTTTTCCACAATTGTTTGGGACTAATGTACTATGAAACATAAAATAACTCATTAAGGTTCAAAGTAGAAGTCATAATATAGAAGAAATAGAGTTTGGGATTAATCTCCCTTGTGTATAAATCACACATAGGGTAGTCTATTTATAGTAGAGAGATACTAACTGAAAGTAACAGAATAAACAGAAGATATTGTTTGATATTATGGTTAATATCTAACAATATCTTAACAATGTTAAATAATATCTAAACAATATCTAACACTCCCCCTCAAGCTGGAGCATATAAATCGTACGTGCCAAGCTTGTTACAAATATAATCAATTCTAGGACCCCGTAAAGATTTAGTAAAAATATCTGCTAACTGATCACTTGAGTTAACAAAATCAGTCTTGATGTCTCCGGACATAATCTTTTCTCGAATGAAATGACAGTCAATCTCAATGTGTTTATTTATAGTAGAGAGATACTAACTGAAAGTAACAGAAGATATTGTTTGATATTATGGTTAATATCTAACAATATCTTAACAATGTTAAATAATATCTAAACAATATCTAACACTCTCCCTCAAGCTGGAGCATATAAATCGTACATGTCAAGCTTGTTACAAATATAATCAATTCTAGGACCCCGTAAAGATTTAGTAAAAATATCTGCTAACTGATCACTTGAGTTAACAAACTCAGTCTTGATGTCTCTAGACATAATCTTTTCTCGAATGAAATGACAGTCAATATCAATGTGTTTAGGATTAGAACTAATATGAAGAGCAGCCTGATTGTCACACACAAGTGACATTTGAGTGACATCTCCAAATTGTAACTCTCTAAGCAATTGCTTGAGCCAAACAAGTTCACAAGCAGCTGAGGCCATAACTCTATATTCTGCTTCTACACTAGATCTTGCCACAACACTTTGTTTCTTACTTTTCTATGAGACCAAGTTACCACCAATGGAGACACAATATCCAAATGTAGATTTTCTATCCGAATTGGCTTACCACACTGACTGCAAAAGAAATGTCAGGACGAGTAACGGTAAGATAATTCAATTTTCCATGGTTGTCACTACCTGTCTTTTATCGACACTCAAGTGCTGGATGTGTTTACTTCATAGTATATGTTGATGACATCGTTAATAATTTTATTATTTAGTAAATATTTTACTTATTTATATCATATTTTTTATAGAACCCCCTCCCCTTTATTATTCTTATTATTTATTATTAATTATTTCTTCATATTATACTTTTATAGCTTTGAATTATTATCAAGCACGATTTGAACCCAGTACCTTAAAGTTAGAGACCGATACTCCAACCACTAAGCTACTAGAATTTTTTAATAATAATTTACAAATAAATTATATTTATATATAAATATACAAATATATTTATATATAATTAAATATTTATTTTTTAAAATAATTTAATTTAATAAATTATTATAAATTAATCTAATTATGATTAAATTATTAAATAAAAAATATTTTATTTTTTAATTAGGTGAATAATTAAATTATATTATATAATTTTATCGATCGAATATCCGATCGGTAAATAATTGTTAATTCTACGATGAATTTACCGATGGATATATCCGTCAGTAATTAATTGTTAATTTATCAACGGACTTACCGACGGATATATCCGTCGGTAAATTCATTTATAAATTATCGACGGATTTATCGATGGATATATCCGTCGGTAACTAATTATTATTTTACCGACGGATATATCCGTCGGTAACATCAAATTCCACAAATATTTTATATTCGTCAGTAATGATTGTTTTTCGACGGCTACAAATCCATCGGTAAATATCCGTCGGTAATACGCGATTTTCTTGTATTTTCTTCAATAAAAATCTTATCCTTACTATTCAAAACTTTTAATTTACACCACTGAGCATATGTGACATATTAATAGAATCACCTTGAGCAAAAGAAACTTATTCTTAACCATTTTCACAAATCTTAAAAAGAAAATTAAAATAACTTTCAAGCATTTACTCTTAATACCAATTATTAAGAAGAAGGGTTGAGTTTAAGAAGAATTAATTAAACTTAGAAAACTTATTAAAATTAGATGAATGGTTTTCATTAAACTAAGATAAAAAGGTCTACAGGAAGGATTTCCTGCTAAGAAATATTACTTGTCAATGATTTCTTAATTAATGCACAATGCAATAAACAAGATCGATGCAAGATTATGTATATTATTAAAATAAGAATAAAGAAAAAGAACATAAAAGATTTATCTTAGTTCATTACAACATGAGAGATGCATCAATTACTCAATCACTATAATTGAGTTAATTTCGCTATTTTGAAAACTGGATCGAAACGACTGGTTCAACCGGTAACCGGTCTAAAATTTAGTTTATTACTTCAAAATAGCTAAATTTTAATTAAAAACCAAAAAAATCAATATAAAACCAATAAACGGGTTGGACTTTTGGGTCAAATCTGTTTTGATAAAAAAAAAAAAATCTAAGATCAATTTTTTTTAATATAATTTTTTTATATAAAATATAATATATTTTAATTTTTCTTTTATCTCGTATTAGTCACGTCAATTTTAAATAGTAGTCATTTTCTTGTATTTTTATGTTATTTTAAAAATTATCTATCTTATACCCTCTAATATATTTTATATTTATAATTTTAATTGTAATTTAAGGTGATCTTGACAATAATTTTTATTATTTTTTTATAAAAAAATTGTAACTAATGAATTTATTATATTCTTATTATATTATAAAAATAATATTTTATTAAATATGGTTAAACCTGATTAAATATTTAAACCTGAATTTTATCTTCACCAATATTAATTAATTCATTGAAGTTTCAAATTTATACAATCTTAAATTCATATCTTCACACGTATTAATTAATTCACTAAGATTTCAAGTTTATACAATAATTTTATAAGATAAATTAGAAAGATAAAAGAAAACCCTAGAACCCTACATGATCAACAAAAACTTTTGTGAAACATTATATCAAGATAAGTCCTAACAATCCTAATTAAGAACACATTATTCGTAACACTAGTTAAAACACAATATTGACAAGCCAAAAATAACCAAGCCATATGAACGAAGAAGAGAAATAAAAAAGAAAAGGAATAAAATTACCTTTAAAATATAGGAGCAAGGTTTTAAAAAAATAAATAAATATATGATCAATTAATATTGCTAAAATTTTGGAGACACAACCAATGTTGTGGTAAAATGTTAAGCTACGTGTTCCAGCTGTATATCTCTCACTCAAAATGATATGAAAGTATTTTCACAGTTTCTGAATTGATTATTAAACAATACCCAGAGAGATTGTATAATGTTGACAAGTTTAACAAACTAAAAGTCATTTTAATCCATTAAAACTTTGTCAAAGTGTCAAGCTCTTGCATTTTAATAAATTAATTTACTTTTTAATATGGTAAAATTACTAAAATAAATATATTAAGAGATTATAATCTATTAAAAGATCAATTTTATCAATTAAATCAAAATATAATTTAAATTGAAATATTTTAACTGAAATTAATATATTAAAATGACATTTTTTGATCAATTAAAATATTTTCTTTATTCAAATCCAACATTTATAATAGCATTTTCCATTAAAATAATTCAGAATACTAAAGTGAATGCACCAACACTTCAAAACTTAATTTTTTCTTAATGGAGCTCTACAACTTATTTCCTTTAAGATAAGGTAAAAAAATATCACTAACCTCATTTTCAAGCCTATTAATCCAACACAAATAAAAAAAAAAATCATCACATTGAAAAGTTTTATCATCAAGAGACGTCAAATCCTTGAACGACTTTAAACGTTTAAATCATCACCATCAACAATAAAGAATAATATATTAATTACTATAAATATAATGTAGTTAAATACACTGCCAAATATATTAAATAATATAAATACATTTATGCATGCAACATTAATGAGATATTTTTTACTGGTAGATATATATGTTACTAGTTAGCCTTTATGTTTTCAGCGTTATTTTGCACACCATTTTTAAAAGCAATCATATCCTCTTACAAGAGTGATATTTTGAGGTAATTTTTATTTAACTTTTTTGGTCATATATACAAGTATGAATGAGTACATAGACACACAACTAGTATAAAATTGAAAATTAAAATTACTACCCATACAAATATGGAGTTTGGTAAAAATATTTTTTTCAAATAATGAATGTGAGATAAATAGTGTAATACCCTATCTATTGTTTTCCTTATTTGTTTAAATAAGCTCAATTAATTGAACCTAGAAGAGTTGAATTTTGACTAATAGAAAAAATTGTTCATATATGTTGATTCAAATTAATTACTATATTAAGCTAATTATTATTTCCGTTTCTAATTTAACTAGTATGGGTCGGTTTTAGTTAATGTTTTAAAATCACTTGATGGTGTAAAAAATTAAATACTCTTAAAAAGAGGGCTCAAGATGTAATTAGAATAAAGTTGGAGGGTCAGCGAATGCGTGTGCCCAAATAAAAAAGAGGCGTGATAGGGAGGACAAAGAAACAGCCTCAAATCCCTTTCTTGTGTCAATTAGAGATTACCTTCACCAGAGTCTGAGACCTGCCTTTTTCTTCTTCTCTCTTTCTCTCTCCCTCTCAGCGCAACACCTCGAACTGTTTTGGCGGTAAAAGATGTCGGGGAAAGGGGCGAAGGGGTTGATCACGGGCAAAACCTCTGCCGCCAACAAAGACAAGGACAAGAAGAAGCCGATTTCCCGTTCTTCTCGTGCCGGCCTTCAGGTTCTCAGATCTCCCTTCCTTTCCCTTTCCTTTACCTTTTCCGCTTCCCTTGTACCCGTTCAAAGTCTCCATACACTCATTCTGTAAATTCTTTTGTTTTCTTAACCCTCGTTATTGTGGTAATGCAATGTGAGCCATTTTTTTGGGGTCTCTTTGAGATTTTGGTGAGCCTTTTCGCTAGGATGTTCTATCTAGCGGGAGAGAAGTCAAATGTTGGTATTTATTTCGTTAACTATTTTAATTTTTAAATTTTTAATAGTCTGGAAGGTTTAATTGGAACATACTGAGCTAGTGAGCTTGATTACAGCTTACTGGTTCACGACCACATGTTGTTGACTTTAACCTCGCTTTAAAATAGGGTTTTGTCACACGTTCTACCCCGATATTGTGCCGTAGGAATGGAAATGTTATATGTTTGTTTATCTGTATTATTAGAATAATTTCGTCATCATATATTGCTCTTCATTTTTCTTGAAGGTGTAATTGTCAACCTTTTAATTCATTTTAAATTTTGGAGGCGTGATTAAATCCGTAATAGACCACTTGTTCTTGTTGTTGTTTTGATTTTATTTTTAACATTTTGTTAATATTCACTGAACCATGACAAATTGTTGCGGTTGTGTGTCCATATTCTGCTTACAATGTATCTAAATGTGTATACACTTGGATTATTATTTTTGAATTTACTGTTTTAGATTAGGTGGCTATATTGTTTGTTATTTCAAATGCTTGGAACATTGCTGGCATGATTCTGATATGCTACAGCCAAAAGTTAGCATATGTTTAGCTTGACCAAGAGAGAGTTACCTGATTATGTATTTGGGACACTGTCTTTGGTGATCCTTTGTATTTAGAATCAAAATCAGTTTAGATTGAAGCATAACTAGGATCATGCCTCCAAAAGTTTCAAAATCAACTTTTGATTTAATGAAAAATATAAGTATACTTTAATCTCCAAATCTTTTTATTTTTTTGGCCAAATCATTGTATTCTGATTGCACACAATATGCTAGCATATAGTTTGGGTGAACTATTAATACATTAGCCAAGTGACTAGCAAGCTGGAATGTTCTCTTACGTGAGCTTCTTCTATATTGTAATTTGCAGTTCCCAGTTGGTCGTATCCACCGGCTATTGAAGTCAAGGACAACCGCAAATGGTAGAGTCGGGGCTACAGCTGCTGTTTACTCCGCTGCAATCTTGGAGTATCTCACTGCTGAGGTATTGGAGCTGGCAGGGAATGCTAGCAAGGATCTCAAGGTCAAACGTATCACTCCCCGGCATTTACAACTAGCCATTCGTGGGGATGAAGAGCTGGATACCCTGATAAAAGGAACGATTGCTGGAGGAGGAGTGATTCCTCACATTCACAAGTCTCTTATCAACAAGTCTTCCAAGGAGTAGATCACTAGTGCATAATAGCTGCTTGATGGGAAATTTCTCTCTACTAATTGTGTATTTGTTGCATGCACTTGAAAAAACAGTAGGACCTTCTATTTAAGATTGAGTTGCTGTTGTTGATCATGGAGATAATATTTAGTCTTTCTCTTTATCAATTTAGTATCTCTCTGTCACTGAAAATCTTAATTGACATAATTCAGTCTGATGATTTGAATTATTGTTAGATTCAACCTGTGTATTGCTTCTTAAAATACTTGTAGCTAATCTCTGTCCCAATCATGCTAGTAGGCTTGTGGGTGTAAAAGTTTGTTTTTTCTCATTATCGTCTCCTTGGGAGCCTGTATTTGGGTTGACATAAAGCATTAAACTCGTTGAAATAGTTTTGTTAATGCAACAGGATTCTGGCAATGGTGGTAATTATACTATTGTAGTTATGGCTGTTGACATGTTGTCTATGATTGTGACATGGGATTGCTGTTGTATATCTGGCTAAATGCGTAGAAGAAGTGCAGCAAACAAGTAGTTGTGACATGGTATTTCTTTTTTAGTTCCAGTGTTGTCATAATTCTATATAATGGTTTTGAATAATGGTCAGTTTCAACCAGAGATCTATTAGTTTATTTTAAATTTGTGATGCAGTTTTAGTGGATGCTGGTAGAAATGGCGCTGTGAAGCAAATATGTTGATTATGTTAAAGTGGTGACATTCATTATTAACCTCGTGGGGAATTTCATTTTCCTCGCTAACTGCCGTTTGGTACTTTTCAATTTTCATTTAATTTATTAATTTAGATTATTTTTACAGACAAATTCTGAATATTATGCTCAAGCCTAAGCTATTGTTTTTAAATTTCACGTAATCCAAATCAAACTTATTGGATTTACCCGTGACAAGTGAAAAAACAGTGAGGTTTGAATCCGTAACGGTTTAACACTTCCCCTGAATCTTCACAACGTTTTACATTTTGCCAGACCTCTGTGTCCTCGTTCAAAAGCTTTCATTTGATCCTTTTACACATAAAAGTTAATTATACTTTTGGTTGTTTCAACTATGAACTTTTATATTTCAAGTTTTAGTAATTGAATTTCTTAATGTCACAATTATACGATTTTGACGTCTTTCGTTAAACTTTTAATAAGATTTATTAACATGATACTAGATAATAACATGACAAATGTGTTGTTTGTCATGTGTGTTGATGTAATTATACTTTTTTGCTTCTTCACTGTTGGTAAATAGCATAGAAATAAAATAATTTAATTAAGTCATGTCATTCCTCTAGCTATTTAATATCAGAATAAAATATTTAACAAAAGACAGATAATATAACAACGCCACATAATTACTATATCTAAGTCGATTAGAATTGTACTTAAACTTGCTTCTAATTATTCTCACTTTTAGATGATCATATTTTTCAAAATATCTTACTCGAATTTTCTCTTTCTGATCTCCTCTGGTGTGTGACGTGTTGGGCCAATTAAAATTTTTCTTATCTCTCTCATACCTTTGTTGTGTGCATTTTAGGGATCAATTGGCATCAAAGTTTTATTTGAGCATGTGAGGAATAAGGCTGTTATCAATTTATAAAATAACAAAATAGATTTGATATATTATTTTTAAGAGAGCACAAGTTATATATTTTTAAGTTTTCAATATTTAGATTTTTATTTAGCTGAGATTAATACGATGAACTAATGGTATCATTCAATAAATAGATCAATTGACATGATCTTGTATTCGTAAAGAAGTAATTTGTTCAATTTTTTTTTTGACAAAATAGTAATTATTAGGTAAATAAGGGTAATATATTTTAGAGTTGTCTTAAAAAGAGTAGGAAAAAAAATCACAAATTACATTCAATCTCTAAGAAGATAATATGAACAAATATTAAATATCTTGATCTCAATTAGTTAAAAAAATATTCCTTAAATGTCACATATCTAATTAATAAAATGAAACTTAATGAGAGAACATTTTTAGTAGTAAAGTGGTGGACAAAATTCTTCAAATAATGTTAATAAAATTTGACCATGTTGTGTTGAGTCTTGCAACAAAAACACTAGAAAAGAATAGCGTACTTGTTTGAAAACATCAAAAGACACATAAGTAGAATCTTGGAGAAGATAAGTAAAGGTAAAAGAAGAAATTCCTATTATGTTGTTGAAGTTGATTTGGATATAACTATCGTGTTAGATTAATATAACTTCATTGTGCATAGTGTACCTTTTCATGACACCGTAAGCAAAAGTAAAGTTATTTCTTTGTGCAAATTCCTATATCTTTTTAAAGGGTAGCTAACCTGGTCATCTTGCTAATCATAAGTTGTTTGAATTGGAAATGGGAATGAATTTGTGAATGCGAGGAACAGACCATTTCTGTATTTGCCTTTTCAAACCCCATTTATTTTAGAGTGAAGGTGCTATTTTGATTAGATTTTCTTATCAGCTCAAAAGTTTATCCTTCTATATTAACATTGAAGTGCTCATGGATTTTGAAAACAAAGACGGTATATGATAACTTGTAATTTACAATATTTTTAAAATTAAATTATTCATTAAACTAGTGAAGCCTTGAGTTTATGGTTTAAAGATTTAACTGAAGTTCAATTGTATCCAACCAAATTTAATAAAATAATATTTTTATAATATAACAAGAATCTTATAATAAGTTCATTACAATATTTTTTACAAAAGAAAGAAAATAATAAAAGTTATTGTCCTAATTACTATAAGCGCTATAAGTTACAATGAAAATTACAAATGTAAAATATATTAAAGAGTATAAAATGGATAATTGTTAACCTAACATAAAAATATAATAAAATAATTATTATTTAAAGTTGATGTAATTAATATAAGATAAAAATAAAGGAAAAAAAGTAAAATATATTATATGTTTTATAAACAATTATATTAAAAAAATTTAATTTTATTTACCAAAATTATTTCGATAAAAATATTCACCCGATTTTTTTTTATTTTATCGGTTTTGTTCCAATTTAATTAAAATCTAATTATTTAGAAACAATAGATGTGATTTTTAGACCGATTTTTAATTAAGTCAATTGAACCAACAAGTCTTCTTTGATTTTCAAAATAACCATAATTAATGGGAGTCATTTACACTTAAACATATGATCTTTTATCATATAAATTTAAATAATCTTTGTCCCATTTTTCAACCCATACATGAACACTAAATCTTCATGATTTAGGAGAGCATGGGTGCTCCCAATGGGTGTTAGTTGTCCAACAATGATAGAATCCTAAATCTTATCTTCATGAAACCCCTCATTTGATTTTCAGTGATGACTCCTAAGAAAATTCTTGTAAACTTTTACTTTGTTGAAGAAGACTACCGTAGCTCCAGTATCTATTTTGCAAACCTTAATGCCTTCAAAGGATAAACCAATCTTCTTTTTCCATAGGATTGGGTTAATCAACATGTCTACTTCTTTAACTCTAAATTTGAGCTCATTTCCATTGAACTTCAATTTCATATAGAAAACTTTAACCAGGTCAACGTAGCATTTGCCTTCCATCTCCACAAATGTCTTTAATTCTTGAGCCTTAAGTATCTTTGTAATAAACTTTAACTCTCAATATCAAGACATAGAAAAGATAGTACTTTAAGAACATTCACCAAGTTTATGCTTATGCGTTCCAGAAACTTGTTGATAGTGTCATCACCTTCATTGAATCAACTCTCTATTTATCCAACTCTAGTGAAAGGAGAAGGTGGATTGCATGGTTCAGGTTGGACAAGTTGCTTTGATTTTCTACCACCGTAACCAAAAGCTTTTTGTTCTCTTTCTTGGTGATTAGGAGGATAAGGCCATTGTATATGATTTGTGAGAGAGATTAGGGAACACTTGTGCACAAAATGCAGGGTAAATGATTTCACTACATCAAAGTAAGGATTGTAATGCACATGACATAAACATAAGTGCATATTAATAGACTAGAAAAGAAGAGAAAAACCTAATCCAATTCTAATTTGAATTTTGATTGAGAATTAAATACAATATATTTTTAAGAAAGAAAATCTCAGACAAAATATTTTCAAGATTTTATAATAATAGATAAGGTGATTGGGTGAATTCAAACTTTTAAATATGTTAAAATATTATTTGGTGATGATAAGTACGATGTGTCAAACACAATAACTTTAGTGTAAAAGTTTTTAATACGATGATTATTAGATTATAAATATATTAAAGTTATGGTAATTATTTTAGAGTTATTAAAATTAATTCTCTCTTTTTTTACTTTATTAAGAGTATTATGGTATTTTAATAAATATTTTAAAATGCCATCTAGGGAGATTAAAAATTATATGAGACAAGTGACTTTGAAAGAAGAAGAGTTGTCCTGAATATATTCTATATCATCAACAAAGCATAAAAAGAAGAAAGAGAAAGGAAAATATCTATTAAGAAATTTTTTACAATGAATCGAGTGAGTTATTGAATATTTCTAATAATATATTTGTGAAAGTTCCTATGAAATAAAATAGTTTATTGAATTGATTAAAATATTTGAAACTAAAAATTAATAGTTTTAACATATTAAAAATATTATATATGAACAACACAATTTTAATCCATTAAAATTTGATTTTAATTGACCAAGTGAATCAACATAAACTAGAAGAATGAAAATATGATAAATTAAATTGATTAAAACTAGAATTAGTTGATTAATCAAGAGATATATTTTTAAATAAATTGTTACACTTCCTTCTAATCAATTAAATCGATAATCAATTAATTGATTAATGACACTAAAAATATTCTTTTAGGTGATTTCAATAAATTCAAAATTACTTTTAATGGATTAAATATCTAAAAATCACAAGAAAATATCATAAAAGTAAATAAAATCATATTTGACACTAAGTAAAGTATAATGCATTCTTTTGCATGGTAAAAAATTAGTATAGAGTTAAATAACAATATATTGACATAGTAGTTAGAAAAATCAATCAATAAGATAAGTCTA